ATATATATATACGTATATAAACAGTGGATTATCAATCAAAGCGAGGTTAATAGGAAGTAAATCTTAGGACATGAAGTGTCACTAAATTTTCATTCTTACTGCGCAATTTTGAAAAAGAAAACAACATGGAGCTCTGAGAGTTGTTCAATCGGGCCAACGTCGGAGTTGGAAAATTTTTTATTGAATTCTATAACAAAACCTTTTGTAAGTACGTGAATTCCTAATTTCACTTTCGAAAAATTCCCAGCTCCAAGTTCTTTTCCTAGTCGATAGAAGCCGATTCGTTTTCCAAGAGCGACCTGAATGTCAGTCCAAACTTATTTCCTTTTCCAAATCAATAATAGCCATATCTTTTACTTCTTTCTGATAGATCGGATCCGTCGCAAGCAAGTGTAATGTTCGGCAGTAGACGCTCATCTGCGAGCCTTCTTCTAGATGATCACAAACCGAAATTGTTTGTGCTGATGTTGTTCGAGCGAAAGTATCCTCTTTATTCTAAACTATAGTAAGTTCTCTGACACCTCTATGTCTTTTTTTTTAAAACTAAAATCAACTATTCCTTTCTCACTCTTCCATAGTTCGGTTTCGAACTTGGTGTATCGTCATAGTTTTGGCGTTTTGAAACAAATTTTCCAATATTTTTACGTGGTTGACGTTCATGTTCTTCGTTATCGTCCGAGGGATCGCCCTCTTCCTTAAGAGTTCGTTGTTTAATGTTCTTCGTTGAAGATAAGGCGTTATACTGTATGAGAATAAAGAACTTTTTCTTTATATAAACATACATACGTTATTGGAAGGACATATGGATGGTTCACTTCGGATTATACGTGAATGTTCTTTCACTCGTGCAACCATCATGGTTCGATTCTGAAATGCATTCATCGGTTTCTATAGATTCTTTCCAGAAAATTGTAAAATCATCACCAGATATATAAGCAAAACAAAAAAAAACATCAGCCTCTCGGAATGAACAAAGCAAAGAAAGGAAACGTGAGTGTGACCGGTTTCCACGAAAACGAGGACCACTTCAGGCACTATGACCTAATCAGAAATGCTCGATATTTGGTTTCACATAGACTATAAATTTTCCTTAATAGAAACTGAAATATTGACATGCTAGTTTAATTTTTTAAATCTTCGAAGCGTTGAAATCAAAGCGCTTAAGATTATATTACTTTAAAATAATTCAAAATGCTCTAGTTTCTAAACAATGCTGTAGATTGATAGAATGCGTGTAATTTAGTGGTTAGGGCTATCTTACAATGCAGCCGGCATCATTTTCGTTCCCGCTCTCCCGTCTTCTTAAGCTCCTAATTCGTCGGAGATGAGCAAATTGGTACCGGACTTGTCTAAGAGGATGAAACTGCTGCTTTTTTAGGCTAGGCAGCAGTATATATATACATATCGCGTTCACCATGCGGGTCTTTCGTTTCGCCTATCTTTCAGCTAGTTCTATCGATTTCAGCTTAACTGGGTCCATTGCCGATATAGGCTCCCCAGATCAATCCCGATGACGGGTGATTGCTGATGGAACTGATCGATAGGACTAGATGAGTGAGAGCCAAAAGAAAAACCCGCATGGAGTGGTGGTGAAAGCGCTAGCCCCCGAAAAGGATAATAGCGCATTCGTTCCCCACCGCATACACCTGCGCTACGGAGTTTTGCAAACATCTCAGCACTGATGTGGTTGCATTACATATAATATCCTAACATGAAAAATTGTATTAGGCAGTAAGTACAAAGTTAAAAGTAAACATAGTCATGAGTTGACAGCGAAAATTTCTCACAAATGTTGGCAAAATTTTTCCATTGTTATATTTTCCATAATTATTCATATATTATTCATTCAAATGCTGTTTTGAGCTAACAGTGTTGTACCTTTTTTGAGAGAATGAGAGACAGGCGAAACAAAGGACTCGCATGGTGTGGTGGTGAACGCGTTACCCCCCGGAAAGGACAATAGCGCGTTCGTTCCTCACCATAGACACCTGCGGTCCAGAGTTTTGCAAATATCTCAGCAACGTTGTGGCTGTTTTGAGCCTGCTTAGATAAGTAGGTAAGTGGTCTTTTTTTGAAAATGATCTAGTTGTTATTAAAAGGTACTTCTGGTAATAAGAACTATTTGAGGAGTCGATGTTTTTCTTCAATAAACAGATTTGAGGAGTGGTTCTGGATGATAATATGCGACGCATGCGGTGTTGTTCATCCCTCAGCAGCGTCTAACCCTAAGCCGGAAAGAATTTGATATTACCACCCGCAAGTTTAGCTAAAAAGTTAAGAGCTGGATTTAGCCCAGTTTTAGAGATATCTTGCAATTCCGTTGCAGTGTTTGAGTCGTACGAGCTATGCAAAACAAACATGCTATCGCCCCTTGTCCATCATGTTGGTGCCATAACCAGCTAGGAGTATAAAAGCACTTAGCGACGGCAAATCGTTGTACACGCAAATTATGTGTTCAGTCACCTTCCGATTCTACGAATGGAGTCTAGTGCAGTGTGCATCCTCAAAGATCCACTTCTACTATGTGAAGACGAAGACATGGAGCATCCTGAGGCCATTGATCAACACCAAAAGATTTATTCTGCCTTAAGCTTGCTAAGCTCGGTTGTCGATGATTCCAGCTCATAATCTTCACTTTTGCTTGATTACTATGATTGCTTGTTAAAGCTTACATAGCTAAATACGAATCAATGGTATTAGCGTGCTATGGGAACGACACCTTTGAAAGTCGTTATTTTCTTAAACACGGTCATATTAATCTACTAGTAACGAGGCTGGTTTTTATTTCGAAAAAAAAACGCTGATGGTGTGACTATAGAGGAAAGAATGGAGAGCATGGTGAAATAAGTAAAGGTAAATACTATTATCTTCGTTCTAAATTTATCTCCTGAAATTTAGCCTAATACCATATTGAAGCCAAAAAATATTGTTAACGCATTTCTACGCTTTTTTTTTGTTCTCAGAGCTCCCTCAGTGGTCACTAGACGAGAGATGGACATACTCTAAAGTGAATAAACAAGGTATAATTTTAAATTTTCACGGATCTTTTCCTTTTAGACCTCAGTCGTCGTAATTACAGAAGAATGCTGGTTTTTGGACAGCTATCTAGCTATCTTTCGATAGCTACGAAGCTATATGCTTTCGTCAGCTTATGGTACTCAAAAAGCTGGGAATGTGACAGACTAATAGGCGAATCGAAATTGCTTAGAATTAAAATCAATGCCTAGGTTTTTTTTTAATTTCTAGGAAAATAGGTGCAGTCGTACATATCAGCATTGTGGCAGAACTCTGCTTGCTCAATCACTTGGCTACGAAGGAAAGAACTATTTTGACGACTCCATTAAACGGTTTCTCTTTAAACAATATAAGAAACTTGGGTTTGCTTGTGCAGATTTTAATCGTTTCCACAAAAATCGATAAAGATCAATAAATCGGTAATTTGATTTGTATCAATTCACTATGCGCTGATACTAAGCCATACGTGACAATTCTTCGACGTGAGATCCCCTAACAGTCGTCAATAGTTTAAAAAAAATTTAACCTTTAAAGAAAAAGTAAAAATGACGATGTATTACGAAACTAGTGGACAGTCATACGGTGAAGACCTATAAACTACTCTAAGAAAAATCAAACCTAAGAAAACTATGAAAAGAATAACTATTTACGCTCGGGATTAGAAAGGGCAAAAATATTCAGAAAAATACTTCTTCCAGTATTGCAGCTTAGGTACTTTGATGAGATTTTACTGTTCGGAAAACTGCTGTGATAAGATTAGAAAATGATTGAAAATGTGGAAGATGAAAGTAGATGAGGCCGTGAAAGAATGAAGCAGTCATAATTTGATTCGCTACTGCTGAATTGAGGCTTTAACAAGACAAACAAAAACATCTACGATGTGCTCAATGAAATAAAATAGAGACATGGAACAGTTAGAACACAGGATAAATGATTCATTGCACTTATATAAACAACCGAATTAATTAAGGAAAAGGTTAACACAAGTCGATTTTCTCAAGGAACTTTTCGATTAGGACATGGAGTTTTTCTGCTACTAAGATTTAAAGGACATGAAAAGGTTCTGGAAAGTGTAGAAAAAGTTATCCATTTACGGATTGGATAAGCGATGATGACGGCCATGAGTATTTGCAAATGAAAGAACTACTTGATTCGATTACGTCAATAAGTCGATGTTTGCTACGAGTCGATGTTTTTGCGTTTAGGACGAGATTTCTTTAAGGAGTATGTGTAGTTTCAAATAGATACATTATTTGCCCACAAAGATACCATAGACGTAACTGTTATGTGCGCGTGTAATGAAGTTTTTAGAGGTGACCTGCAATACAAACACCGTTGTTGGTTCAACCATCTGTTGCGGGCTAACCAAACCTTCTTTCCAACGGGATCGGCAAATTGACACCGGACTTGTCAGAGAGAATGTCAGCAAAGACTTGATACATCGGTGGGTCAACGAAAATTATTGTACAAGCAAGACATTCATTCAGTCACCTCTACGATGCTATAAATGGAATCGAGTGCACGGAAGATCGCCAACGGATAGGTCAACACCGAAACCTTTATCGTTTACCTTTTAAATGTGCCATTCTTATTATAATACGTATATCAAGCACAAGAGGAATTCATCAAGAAAACGAGCGAAAACACGATTTCATCGAAGGACGTTTAAGCCGTCTCTTGAACGAATCGTGAAACATATGAAATAAACGATCTACTAAAAGCCGTGAGCCGCTTTGGTACGGTTATATGAAGATAGCTAAGCATTTCAGCTCGTGATTGCAAAACCGCTCTTCTACCCGCTGGCAGCGATATTTTAACTACCGCGAACGCATAACAAGTTAGTTTATACGCGTGCGTTTATTTTTGTGTTGTGCTGTTGTGTTGTGTTGTGTTGTGTTGTGTTGTGTTGTTGTGTGTGTGTGTATGTGTGTGTGTTTGTGTGTGTGTGTGTGTGTGTTTGTGTGTGTGTGTGTGTGTGTGTGTGTGGGTGTGTGTGTGTGTGTGTGTGTGTGTGTGTGTGTGTGTCACTATGGAGAAAAGGTGGTGGTAATCCACACAGCAGATGGAAGCAGTGAATATGAAGATTGCCAACATCATATTACTCAGTGCCGTGATAACATCTTGTCTAAAATTGTGTGGCTTAAGGTTAAGGCATAGAGAAATGTTCTTATGGTTAATTCTAAAAAAAATTTCAGAAAATTACGTTTTCTGATAAATTAAAACACAGAGAAACACCTCGAAAAACGACCTTCTTTCGATTTTCCCATTAAAGTCAGCAGCTCTTTCTAATGTTTCTCGTAACTACTTTCTTTCATAGCATTTTCTAATTTCCACCTCCTCCAACAAGTTTTCATAAACAGCAAAATAAAACCTTTTCTCACTTTCCTACTGCATTTTACTCGTCTTCCCTTGGAAAGGTTAACACTGAAGTATCCAGATGATTTGAAAAAAAACGAATATAAATATGGAAAGAGAAAAGACGAGCCCTATTCGTTTTGTAGCGAAGTGCCAAAGTAGTGATAGTGGAATGCCTTAGATTATTTTTTAAATTGGTCAGCAATTAGATTTTTTCATTGGTAGCACTGTTTTCGGTCCTATAAATATTCCTTCAACAAAATTGTTCACCATTATTTTTGATCGATTCAAATAAGCGTCGAAAAGACGAAACGACAAAAAACTGCCTGAGATGTCAGTGCTGGTGAAATGAAGACATCGAAGTACTGCTTATCCATTGTTTTATTTTTTCAACCTTATATGACAGAACATCACATGGACCAAAAAATGAAGATATTTTCAAAAGCAAGACTGTTGAGAGGTAAAGATTATAGCCATGTTATCGCCTT